GAACTTTCTGGGTAGTCAGTTCCGCGTTCCTGTTTAAGAAGGGGAGTCTGCCTGTGCGTGTTAAGTGACCTCAGGAGGGATGCTGTCCGTGGTCAGCAGTCTGAGCCCTGCACCCCGCTGACAGGCCCACTGCTGTGAGCGAGACGGGGAGCGCTGGACGCAGCCCCCTGGGGCACCCCACCGTGTCAAACCCCTCCTCTCTTTCCCCGGCGCCCCTGCAGGCTGATCCGGGGGAGTCAATGTCGTCGCGGCTCAAGTACATGTCCCTGGGGGTGCTGGTCTTCCAGACCACCAGCCTGGTGCTGACGATGAGGTACTCCCGCACGCTGCAGGAGGAGGGCCCACGCTACCTGGCCTCCTCCGCCGTCGTCTCTGCCGAGGTCCTCAAGATCGCCGTCTGCGTGCTGCTGGTCTTCAAGGACACCAGTAAGAGAGCCCGCCGCCGCCGCCGCCTCTCCACCTCGCCGCCGCCGCGGCCGGGCCAGCGTCACCCAGCCCGTGTGTGTGTGCGTGTGTCCCGCAGGCTACAGCGTGCGCGCCCTGAACCGGCTGCTGAGAGACGAGATCGTGCACAAGCCCATGGAGACGCTGAAGCTGGCCATCCCCTCGGGCATCTACACCCTGCAGAACAACCTGCTGTACGTGGCGCTTTCCAACCTGGATGCAGCCACTTACCAGGTAACCACTGGCTAGTGAGCACCGTGGGGGGGTGTGGGAACTGTGCCTACAGGGGTGGACAGCTGGGGAAAAAGATGGGGGGGGAGGGTGGGTATATAATACAGTTTGGCGCAGGTCAGTGTGGTATGAGCTGGGTTGTGGCAGATTGCTTCGTGCTTTTCCAGCACCTTTACACGGACACTGTACGCTGTCTGCGCGTGTTGGTCTTTGTTCGTGCTCTTGTGTCGGGTTGACGCTCTGTCCATCGCCAGGTGACGTACCAGCTGAAGATCCTGACCACCGCGCTGTTCTCCGTCTCCATGCTGGGGAAGCGGCTCGGCGTGTACCAGTGGCTGTCGCTCCTCATCCTCATGGCCGGAGTCGTGCTCGTCCAGGTAGGGCTCTGCGTGGAGGCTCTGGGGAGACCGATCCAGGTCGAGCTAGGGCCAGGGGACCCAAATACAGCTGGAGATTCACGCAGCTGATGGGGAAATTCACCCTGCGGGTGAAAGTGATCCTTCCCATTTTCTCCTTGTGCTCTGTCCTTCCCTGTTTACCCTGGGGCAGTCACGGGTGTAATTGTTGCTTTGTGCTGGAATGATCAGATTTGCGGCAGGTTTGCTCCTGTCTGGCAGTATTTACTAGTCTGGAGGTTACCATGGGTTTCTTCAAACAAGGAAATGCTGATGGCGGCTGATTACTCAAATTGTAACTATTATTCCCAGTCCCCGTATCCGGGTTTTCAGCTAGTTGGTGTTGTGGGAAGGGTCCAGACCTTTATGTGAGCCCCCGGTAAAAACTGCCCTACCTGACAGGTTTTCTCTGCAGCAGTGTTGTCGTGTGTGCACCAGGAACCGCCTGCCGGCAGGTGTTACAGAGGGCATGTATTGCTCCACCTGCAGGGGAGTGCTCGCTCAGTGTCTGGAGTTGTGTCTTCTGCCTGCAGTGGCCCTCAGACGACGGCGCAGCAGGGGGGCAGAAGGAGCTGTCGGCGGGATCCCAGCTGGTCGGCGTGTTGGCGGTGTTCGTCGCCTGCTTCTCCAGCGGGTTCGCGGGCGTCTACTTCGAGAAGATCTTAAAGGAGACCAAGCAGAGCGTCTGGATCAGGAACATCCAGCTGGGTGAGCCCTGTCTGCCTGCATCTCTCTCTCCCCCCCACCCCGTTTTTGTCCTTCTCCTCTCTCAGCCTCCGATCTGCCTCAACCTCTCCGGCTCTGTCCCCCAGCGTGTCTCCTGGAGTATCTGTCCCTGTCCCCCAGTTTCTTTATCATGTCTCTGCTCCTGCTTGGCTCCCTCTCTCTTTCTCCCTTGCCCTTTCTCTCTTCCTTCTTTCCTCTCTCTCTTGTCCGTTGCTCGTTGCCCCAGCCGGAGTTGTGGCTCCTGTTCTTTTCCAGTCCGCACCCCTGCTCTGCTCCTCCCCCCCCCTCTCGGGGCAGGAGGGTGAGGGCTGTCTGGTGGGGAAGGGCGCACAGTGCAGCCTTTGTGCTGAGGTCCCAGCAGAGAGCCCTGACAAAAACCCTTTTCACCACAGGCCGAGGGGCGTAGCCAGTGTCGGGTGTCCTGGGACAGCAAGGGCTCCTGAACACACTGGCGCTGTTCAGCTCACTCTGACACAGACGCGCACAGAGCCGCTCTGTCTGTGCAACGCACACGCGTCGTCTGTGTAACACACTGAAACACTGTTGCTTCCTCGCTCCTTTTCTACTCTGGCAGGGAGGAGACCGTACAGTGCTGTGCTTTGGTCTGTGTGTGTGTTTTTGGGATAAAGACAAGTTTGTGTGCTGTGGGGTTAACACTTTGTAGGGAGCACAGCTTTATTTGCCAGCCAGAATTTTGTTTTGTGAAATATAGGATTTTACAATGTTCGAAAGACATTTCACAAGTGACGGGGAATACCAGTCTTATTAGCCTTCCAAATAATTTCAGATCCTCACTTGCTTCCCTTGGGTTAAACGTGTCACACTTGCACGTAGTTCCCTCTGCAAGGTGCCCTGTGAAATAAGGAAATGGCCAGGTTCTGTTCTGCCCACTGTCCCACCTGCCTGTTATAGAGGCAGTTGGCCA